ACATTGGATTAGATATGTGAGGTAGGCTACTATTGCTGTGAATACTAGTTGCCTCTGTCTCTGGTTTCAGCACTATACACTAGTGAATTACTGAAGTACTCTATTCACTTATCAAGTGATTTTTCACTTACCTTAATGAATAAGTGAAGTTACTTTGAATGCTTAATCATTTCAAGGATCTTTGCTTGCATATGATTGGGTGATTGAAATGGACACAACTTCGCCCTATTAACTAAGTAAACATTCACTTTTCTAACTAAACAATCTCTATTCCTTTATTATTCAACCCCCAACATGCATAGAGTAAGTGTTGTGGTCAAGTGGAGCAAATTATCAGAACTCCTGATCTGCATGGTTGTTATGGGCTAAGGATTCAGAAAGCATTGAAGCAAAAGTATCAGCAAGACAGCCAGGTGACAACCATTTTCAGAACAAAGGCCATATTGCTCTTATGACAGGGTTTCTATTAGGAGAGCTTGTCACCTTGCCCATGCAGGACAAAATGATAGTGTCTCGCAAAGACCCTCACTGAATCTCATATATCCCCCTTACCAGCGATCTCTCTCTGCTCCTTCCTCCTCTGCAACCTGCATTAGAATGAGCCCTGTTGACCTCCTCTTTTTTTCAATCCTTGTCTTTCTCTGATTTCTTTTATCTCCCTCATCATAGCTACCCATCCACCTCGGACCAAATGTCCGGTACTTTTGACATGGGACGCTTTTAGCATGATATGTATCTTATACTACCACAGTTCTAAAAAACACTGGTATTATGTTGCTAGGGCTTTGTCTATGATGCATGCTGATTGCTGGTCCTTTATTACTGCTTACTTGAAATGTCTAACTTCTTTCTTTTTGGATAAACATCTATAAATTAAAAAAGAAAGAATGGGTGACCCAGGGGAGCAGAGACATCAACAGAGACCCCAGCCATGTGACAGTGCTTAGGCCTAGCAATTGGCTGCTAGACCTGAACATGGTCCTAGGGGAAGAGGTCACGCACAGATCTGCTGGGTATTGTGATTGTATTGGGACATCTGCGGAGGAGCAAGGAAAGCTGAGGGTTCACCGGTAAAGTCAGTATAAAGGAGTCTTTGGGGGACCTTTTAAAGATATATTTTTACTTTACCTTGAATCAGCAAGGTGACAGTGTCTCTTTAAGTTGTATGAGGCCTACGTGCTGGGGAGCAGAGACTTGGACAGGGATGCAATCACTAACGCACTTGTGCCTTGTGCCAGCATGGCCTGGAAAGTAATTGCTGCAGTGCAACAATTCCTGCATTCCTGGCACGTTTTATTAATATATGAATAGTAAAGTCTTTATTAATTTATATATCTATTGCAGAGCTCTAGTGGCTAATCTGGTATAATAGATATAAAGAGACTCTTTGAAAGGAAGCCTGTCTTAATATTCCAGGATCGCAACATGATTTGGCAAAATCAGTGCCACACCTATTAGCCTGCAGAGTTTAAACAAAAAGAATCCATCTCCTACTGCCTGCTTCCACAGACATTTCAATAGAAGCAGCTTTAGCCTAGATATCATTTAATCTCCAGACCTACAGTAGCATGTATTCAAATATTCACACAATTTTGTTCCCTGTAATTCATTTAAACAAATCTGCTCAATTCCTTTGTGTTGTTTTTTTCCTGCTTTAACTAACACTAAGTTTGCTCAGATTTTCTGCATGTGGTTCGGCAATAAAATGAAACGCATACTGCAACTAATTAATTTAATTAACTATAATGTAGACGTATGCTTTTTTTTTTCTTTGTTTAAAAAGAACAAGTCAGAAAATGGATTGCACTATTTCAGTCTCCCACATTTCTGTTTCACTGAGGGATAAACTTACAGGAGTAGCAGGATGGAGGAAACCGCAGTTAGAAAAAAAAAAAAAGTGCCTCTCTAGGGAGGGTTCGAATATCAGACCTGCTAAGCTTTGGGTCCTGCCTCTACGGCTACCATCTCCCATCTCCTCCCCATTGTAGCCTGGCAAGATTGCTATAATCGATTGCTGCGCCTTTCCCTAACCAAACAGTGGAAGAAGGGTGAAAAAAAAAAGCTGAAGGAGAGTGAAAGAGAGATCATAAATGCTGCCTGCTGTCTTCCTCTTTGATTTGATGGCCTTCATTCCTTCTAATTGGATAAAGTAGGAAGTCACTGTTAGTACTGTGTTGCTGGATGCACAGATTTTATTCAGACCAGCCCTGCAGTGGGTGGGGGAGAGCAGAAGAGAAAGGAGAATCTAAGTGATAAGGTACGTGCCTGGTAAAGTGGATAGGAAAAGAAAAAACAGAAAGCACAGCCGGAACAAGGATGCTGAAGACGACTAAGCAAAAGAAGAGAAGGGAGTAACCATCCAAGCTCTCACTGTCCTTCCTGTCAAGTCACAGCCTGTGATAACACTGTGTGCCGTGATGCTCACAGAGCAAGCACCTGCTGCTCTGTAATGATTCAGCTTCTTTCACTCGTAGCTTTAACACAACAGGATGATATTGCTGCTGTTACTGCTGCCTCATTTGCTGCTCCTGCTATTGCCGGTCCTATTGCCTTTCCTGTGGTTGCTGCTTCATGACAGATCTGTTCTTCCAAGCAGGCACCACCATCCTATGCTCCAGGTGAGAATCAAGCAATTCACTCTTGGCTATTGGCTTACCTAACTAACTAACAACTACTTGTCAGGGAGTAAGATGCACGCACAGCCGAGCACTATAATGGCACAGAAGAGCATGAAATGTTTCAAGATCCACCACCTTCTTTGACTAAAGAATTGTATTTCTTTTGCTTTCCTGGTAATGATCTTCTTCTACTTAGACTCTATTGATTTACAATATAACATGCTACATAGTTTTTTCCTGCATGCCCCTCTTGTTCTGGTAATGGACCATGTGCAAATCCATACTTCACTGAGGCAAGGTGATTGAGATTTATGCCTTTAAGATGTCTGGGGATACTGCAGAAGGTTTTCAGAATCAGTGCTCTGAGCTGAGCTCACACCCCCCCTCCACTGAACTTCAAGATGAAGGAAGCGTGCCAGAGACTCAAGCTGAGGATGGAACTACCCAAGGGATAGCAGGCCTCGCTATTACCTGCTGTGTGTGCCTGGAGGCAGACAGGCTGAGAATCTGTCTTAACTCAGAAAAGATCTGTATCCTTCCCATACTGGCATGTCTGATAAGTCTCTGTCTTTGTATTGCTGGCCTTAAGTGGGTGTTTGTAGACAAAATATTCGAATATGACTCCCCGACACATTTGGATCCCGTGAGGATTGACGGAGATCCTATCATATACGCTAACTCTGCACCAAATACATTGGTACCTTCTTCTGTATATACGCTGCCTTTCCTTATGCCTACTACTAAAACTAATATCCAGGTTACAGTGGAAGTTGGATCATCCCTTTTGCCTACAGAGCCTACTTTCCAGCCATTAACTACTGATAATAATTTACCAAAAGTCACTTCAGTGGAAAAAATATATCAGCCTTCTACAATAAATACTTTAGGAGTTTCAGAGTCTAGTACCACAGTCACTATAAAAAAAGGTAAGTATAACTTCAACTAATGCTTCAATTTTCAGTGCGTCAGCAGATTTTGTATTTTTTCCTAAACGCAGTAGACATAATTTATAGTTTCCCACTGTATAAAAATGTAAAATAGCGTCAATGTTTGCATTTAAAGGGATCATGTGCATAAAGAAAAATGCAGGATGTTATTACTGACTCTATGCTGAAAATGGTAGTTGCTTGGCTGTCTTTTGGCTTCAATACCTTCCAATCATTGACCCAGAACAAGCATGCAGCAAGTCAGAATCAAGTTAGAGCTACTGATCTACATGCATTTTCTAGGTCAATAAGAGGATTGAGGCCATTGGATCGGCCAGCCAGCCAGCAGCCAGGCAGTTAGCATTTACACAAAGGGTGTGGGGGGGTCAGCAGTAGCAGTTTACATAGACCTCCCAGCGTAATATGAAGTAACACATAGCAACCACTATTATGTGTTTAACTTATATTAGGTAAACTGCTTTGGCTTGATGGATAGATTAAGTCTGGGTGTGATGGATTTCTTCTATTTTTGCATCATTGCTGTGTTTTTTTTTAATGGTTATATATAAGTAGCCATAAGCATATTTAAGTAACTACGTATGGACTGATTAATATATTAGGTGAACCATTCTACCTTTGTTCACATTGTGTGTTAGTTACCATTACTTAATTCTGTAAGTATTTTTACTAATGAACTGACATTTCACAAACACAATCTTAAAAAAGAATTGCATGCCACTGATAAAACGGTACCGTAACTGTACCATATAAAGCCTTGACGCAAAAATATGCATTGCCATCAACAATGGTATTATGGCCTTAAAAAAAGCCACTTTGACTGCAGGGCCCTATTTTTTTGCATTCACCCATTAAGATAAATGGTACCTTTTCCTGGCTTCTGGTAATTCAGCAAACAGCTCTCCATCTCTAGCCTTTAACCCACCAGGGGGTCATTAATTTTGTTACAGACTTTACTTGTAGCTGTTGATTAATATTGCAGTAAAAATAATGTGAGGCTTTTTAATCTCCAGAAGTGCAGGGGATGAACATTCATAAAAAGTCTGCATTTTATACTTCTTATCTTTCACCAGCATATTAGGTTAACAACTCCCAAATTGTGCTTGTCAATTCACCAGCCCTGTGTGCTGTTCAGTGTTGACATCACTCTTGCATTTCTTAGGGTTATATCTCATTTGCGTGGTGTGATGTTTGTACCATTCAACAGGCTGTACATAGAGCAATGATAAAGTGAAAACTGCAGTAACCAATCAGATTCTATTTAACGGGAGTCAGTTTAGAAAAAAGATATCTTGTTCATCAATGAACCAGATCATCTCAGCTCTTCTTTAGAATGACAAATAGTATATGCTTTTAACTTTTTATTTCTGCAGTCATGATGCTAAGTGACAAGGTAAAAAGCCATTTTGGCCTTCCGTCTGATTCCATTTTGTCAAGGCTTGAATTTTAAATGCAGCATCTATCCCTCTAAATTAATGCTTGATGTAGATTCGATCCCATTTAAAAGCTACCCGAGCAGAAAAGTGACAAATTGCTTTTGGTTTCTCATGCAAACATCATGGCTGCATTTATGTCATAGTTTTCTAATTGTTTCAGTATGGAACATTTACTACTAGTAGGCCCAATTCACACTAGGGTGCGATTAGGTGCTTTTAAATGCATGTAATGATTTCCAATGGACCCATCCACACTTTGCATTCAGATGTTTTTAGATGCAGTCAGTTTAGCTGCGTTTAGGAAAAATAGAAGTGAAGTGCATCCAGGAAACAATTTTAGCATTTAAACGCAATGCAGACAGATGCATCTAAAAGCCTTTGCGTGTATACTTTAGTCATGTTAAGCATCTAGAAGTATAAAAAAGCATCTAGCCTGACAGATTTTGCAGACAGATCTCTGCATAAAAACAGTGTGGACAGTGTGAATGAGACCTAAAAATGTGTGGCATGCTTAAGAAAACATGTGAGTCAAAATGTTATGGTTTGCCACTGTGCAAAACAAAGTGAAGGGAATTGATCAAAACTGGAGCAGAGAAAATCTGGAGCAGCTGTACATGGCAACCAATCAGCTTCTCTCTTTCATTTTCAAATCCTAACCGAACAAACTGAAAAGAATCTGATTGGTTGCCATGCACAGCTGCTCATGATTTTCTCTGGTCCAGTTTTGATCAATTCCCCCCAATATATCATGTTTGTGAATAAAGATGTACACCGTCCACATTTGAGCGTGATCTTTGTCAGGCGATATTTAAGCTTTCTTTTGTGCTTTTTTTTGTACGTTTTTCAGGCATTTATGGATTCAGCGCTATTGGTTAAGCCAATGGAAATTTAGTTACTAGTAGGAATAGACAGATGTTAGGCATAAAAAAACATGCATTAGGAGCGTTTTTCAGGCACTCCCATTGAAGTCGGTTGGGCCAATATTACTTGATTCTGCCTGAAAAAAAAGCTAATTTCCTTCTTCCGACCAGCGACATAATGCTTAGGTTTGAACAGACACCATTGAAAATAAAGGGATTCTTTATGTTGAATGTTGTTGCCCTTCAGAAAACCCGTGACAATGGGTCCAACCTATTTTTTTTACAGGATTAAATTAGAATGTAACACATCCACATCATCAGTCTTGTTTAATTTTGCAATGAAAAGAGTAATGCACACATGCAAAGTGTAGTAACCTATACTAGCCAATCAGTTTTACCCTGCAAGGGTAGGAGCATTGAAAGAACTGCTTATTGTGTGCAGGCTTACTACATCTTGGACATGCATTTTAGCCTTATGAAATAAAGCACATTGCTTTACAAAACTATGAACGGAGAACATCTTCACAGTGCACTCATATATGAATACTTGTGCTGTTACTTTATAGTGGCTGTACCTGTATATAGTTAACAGGTTCTTTGAATATATCCTTCAAGGTCATAGCCCGGTAATGTATAATTGGTTTTACTTTGTCGTTGCAACTGTGGGAGGGAGATGGATAGGAAACAGAGAATGAAGTCAAACAAGGTATGAGAGGTGAAAGCTGATGAACACATTTGATGGCTTTGTATCTGCGAGCTGTTACACAGTTCTGCTTTGTGCAATGAGGTAGCAATTTTCAGGCCAGTGCTACGCACCTCAATGAGCTGATTAAATATAATATCTCAATGTACTTTCATTTTTTTTCCTGTCTGCCTAATGCTTCTGTGTGCATTATTAATAAGCTGAGTGGAATGCAGAAAAAAGCAATGGAAGTCAAAGCTGTGCTTCCTGTTGTCTACACTACATTGTTTGTGCTGTTTTTTTTTGCTACAAAGTACTGGGTGCTTGGCACAAGACCTGATTTAAGCATAATGACATATACAGGTAAACCCCTTTGTTTGTTAATGCTCATTGTGAATATTGTAATAATAGACAATACAAGACTGAAAGCCACTGTCCATTGACCGGACAATAGGGTTTTTACATATTAAGGAAGATGAGCAGACAATGAAGCCTAATATTGTCTTCTTAAAGCACATCCTTTGCCAATATATGGGAGTGTCTGGTTCTCATGTCAGCTACTTTAGCTTGGTCCCCCCTAAAAGCATCGACCTTAATGATACACTTCTTTGCCAGCATTTCTGTAATCACATGATAGTTTAAACATCATTATATCTATACCATTTGCTATGCAGTTATTCAAGATTAGCATTTGCGAGTTAAAGGCATGTATATAATATAATAACACAAACCATAAAAAAAATTCCCTAAGTACAATTGAGAGCTTTAGAGATAATCATTTGTCTTGCATTGTAGGCAAAATAAACTAGGAAGGTTTTAGTTTCAGAAATTCAATGCAAAATCAATATTGATTGGGTGAGACAGCTGGTCTTATTACATAAGTAGTAATATTTAGAACAATGCATTTAAGAGGCATCTTTGTCTGTAGATGGTGTATTGTATCAGCAGTGACTCCGATTTTCCGTTGTGACAAATATGGGAAGGGGCATGTATAGTGTTCTGTTACTGCAGCAGAGTTATCATAATATATATTTGTCATTAAGGCCAATTTTCCAAAGTGAAGTTGAGCAATGTTCTTGCTCCCTTGCTGAGTAAATTATGTTGACTTATTTGTACATCACGATCATGCACATGCAGGTTTTGCAAACATGATCATGGTTGTGCTCAGCGGTCAACCTCTGAGGTATAGCTTATCTTGGGCATTCTGTTAAGAAAACATGAATAGCTCATCTTGAACTATATCCAACTCAAGATTTTATTCAAAGTAATGTTCATAAAGGATTCTTTCAAAAGCCTTTGTAGAGCATCGTTCAACAATTTTACAAATTAAATTTTTAGGAATAAATTCACAATCTCGTTATTGTCTCCCATATTTAACAATAAATATGTAATTTAAGTAGTAAGATAATACAGAAACAATAATGCATGTTTAAATGGAAAGCAAGAGGATAGAAGTATGACAGCTGCCATTGCTGACTAAGAATTAATGATGTAGGCTCTAATCTTGAGCATGGCTTCAACTAGTGAGTTGCTGTCCTTCAACAACCATGTAGAATGAACGTTAAGACTTTTCAGACTGAGATCCTGGCTGAATGTTAGTTGCAGCCAATGACTTACTATGGAAAAGAAGCCAGGGTCAGGATGACAGCCCCAGGGCCTGCACCTTTACAAACAAAATCTACAGTAGGTGCTCCCATATTTGTGTCCTCTTTTGGACTTTTTTGGCCCAGATTTGAACAGTTTGGGCTTAAAGTTTATGATGGTCACTGGTACATTGGTAGTGAGTAGAAAGAATGTTCTATTACACTGCTGGACAGTACAGTAGAAACAATCCACCATTACTTAGGTAATCAGTGGAAAGAATACCTCATTACTTTTGGTGGTTAATGGGAGAAGTGCTACCTTTCATTGGTGGTTTGTGGGATGAAGACTGTCCCTTACATTGGAAAGCAGTGGGAAGAATGCCTTACAGATGGCTACAAAATCAGTGGTATCAGTGAGTAT